TTATCTCTTTAGCACAGGTTAAAGTGTAGTTAGATCCTTAGTACAGGTTTAAAGTACTAGTGTCCTAAATGGTCACAAATAAGGTATGCTCCCTGATATTTTTTTTTTTTTTTTTTCTTTCTGTATTCCTTTTTAGTTTAGTTTAGTTTAGTGTTTTTTTTTCTTCTTTTACTTCTCTACAAGAAAGTATTATCAGATTAGTAATACTCTATTGTAGGGCAGTAGTCGGATGAGCCCCTCAGATCCTCTTTTTTTCTTTAGAAATTAGGCAACTAGTGTGGCAAATCACTTGTAAGTGCTCATAGAAGTAACTGCGGGATGTCGACTCAGCACATTAAGTCTAAAAATGTTTGTTAATATATAAACAGAAATCTTAATAAAGAGTATTGACAAAACTACCAAAGTGAAAAAAAAAAAATTTATTTTATTATTATTATTATTTGTATTAGTTATTTTATTATTATATTATTATTATTACTAGTAGTTACTAGAATTTTTTAGTTAATTAGTAATCACTTAGTTGCTTAGTTACTTAGTTGCTTAATTGTTTAGTAATTAGTTACTTAGTAATCATTAGTTATTAGTTGCTAGAATCTTTCAGTCACTTAGTAATCAAGTAGTTGCTTAATCACTTAGTTACTTAGTTATTTAATGCTTAGTCACTTAGTTGCTTAATTACTTAGTTACTTAGTCACTTGGCTGCTTAGCTTACAGATATATAAATCTTGCTAAATTTTTCAAGTATAATTAAGTAACAGATATTTTTCTTTTCTTTAATATTGTAAACATATTTTAAAATTTTTTAAAAACAGAAACCTAAAAATAACCTTTCTTGTTATTACTTTAATAAGCAATTTTGACTATAAACTATATTGATACTCTTCCTCTAAAGTAATTCTTACAGATAAGATTTATCTTCTTTTAGTGAAATAAAGTAAAGTTATTAGTATTGCATTACCTTTCCTGAACTGTCTTAGAAAAGAGTATAGTTTCTTAACAATATTTAACAGAAGCTATACTTCTCTTTTGGATACCATATATACTTGTAAAGAATTCTTTGTGTCATGTTATCATTATAGTATAAAATTAAAAAGACTTTTACTTATAACAATATTATAAAATTTTTTTATTAATTAATTAAAAAATAAAAAAGTTTTATTAGTAGTATATATCAAATTTAGATGAAAATATAAATATTACTATATAAAAATAATCTACATAACCCTACCTTATTATTTTTTTATTTATAATTACTTCTACTTCTGTTTCTCTAAATAATTCTTTATATAATATTTGTAACAGAATTCTGTCTTTTTTTTTATCTTTAAGTTTATTTCATATTGTTACTAGTTTTTAAATTCACTTTTACTAACTTTTTGCTTACTACAACTTGCTAGGTGTATCTGAATTTTTCATTCTTTATTTTGACATATCTGACACTCTGCTGTTATATATACTTATAGTCTTTTTATATTTATTTTTTAAGTATTAGTAGGTTGTTTATTATATACTTAATTGCTATAGCTCTTCTTATCTTAAGTTTTTTTTAAGATTCAATAAACTTCTCTTGTTCTATTCATTTCTTTCTAAAAACTTCTGTTTCTAATTCTGTATTCTAATTAAATTGTTTTTCTTTAACTGGCTCCAATTTTGATATTCAATATTATTTTACACAAAAACTTATTAGTATATTAATCTTCTTGTTTTTCTATTCTAAATATACTTAATCTTATTATATCTAATTTTCTCTACATATACTATATTTTTATATATTGTTTCTTTTTTTACAAAAGAGTTTGCTCTATTATTTCATTTGTTTTCACTATAACTTTTAATTTTAATTATTTTTATTTTGTTGTTTTTGTTCTTGATAAGACCTGCAATGTTTATTATTTATATTACTTTTTTTTATAATTTTTTTATTTTTTATACTTTGAATTATTTTGTTAATGTTTTTTAATGCTGCAATACTATTTGTATATACTTCTACAATCTTTTCTTCTGGTACTATTGGGATTGCTGCCTATATTGTTGCAAATTATGCTATTATTGCTGATGATTATTCTTTAAGTTTTAATGCAATCTTCTTTTCTGATTATTTTCTTTTGTCTCCTATTTGCACTCAACTAATATATATTTTTTCTGTACTATTTTCTTTTTTTTTATATAATGTTCTATGTATATAAAAAATACATTTTTCTTTATTTTTCTTTTTGATTTTTTTTAGAATCTTTGTTAAATAGTTTGTAATTGTACTATTCATCTTTGTTTTTTAATTAACTCTATTTTTAATTTTTTTGTTTGCTTTAGTCTTAATAGTTTTCTTTTTATCTTTTTTTTATTTCTTTATTATTCTATTTTCTAATATTTGTTCTAATGTTGCATTAATCTTAATATTGTTTTTCTCTACTAATAACTCTGACATCACTTTTATACTATAGTTTTGTATTGTGTCAAAACCTCTAATATATTTTTTTTGTATAAAAGTACTATCATTTCTGTTAATAAAAAGATAATTAAGTAGAGATAAGATATTGATTATTTGTTAATAATAAAGACACACATTAAAACCAAAATCATAGTGGCAGTAGAATACTTAGTTCTTGGACCAAATCTTTCACACCTTTTTTTTGAGTTGCCTTGTGTTTTTGCATTATATTTGTTATGTTTTAACTATAAAAGACCTGGTAACCTCAAATTTTCTTCTTATAATATTAAAATTATGCATTTCATACAACTAATAAAACTGATTTGTAGTAAAATACATGTGGTGAACATTGATAAAGTTGAAAAAAACTATTTCTTTCATATTTTATATTACATATTCATGTGATCATACTAGTATAATTTTTTTTAAAAAAAAATTATTTATATTTTTATCTTAGTTTTTATATATATTTATATGAAAAATACTTCAATTAACTCATAGTGATCATCACTATCTCTATTTTTAAGGTTAGAGTGCAGTTTGAGACAAAAGCAAAGATTAGATATAATAATCTGAATTTTAGGTTACATGAGGTTTTTAGGGGTTCTGAAGATTTTTACTTGGTCTATCTGACTCTTGTTTCTTAGTGTGTTTTTGAAATATAACCCCTAGGTAATAATCACTATAGGTTATAGTTAGTAATATCCTATTTATATTGCTTTATTAATAACAATCTTTTTTTAAAAAAATAAAGTTCCAAGTTGTATGTATAAAAAGAAAAGAGGTCTAATACTTTATATTTTAATAATAATTAAGATGATTATATAAATAAAAAAATTTAAACAGATAATCTTCTAGGTAAGTTATAAATATAATTAATAATATAGAACATAGTAATAAGCAACTACTTAAATAGATAATCAAAAGTTGCATATATATCTAGTACACTAAATACTTTTTAATCAGTGTTGTCAATTTCTTGTTCTATTGATAAAAATTATATTCTAATCTAATTTCTATTGCTCTATTCTATTGTTTTATTATTCTATTTATTTATTGCTATATTTTTATTCTATTCTAAATTCTATCGCTCTATTCTATTGTTCTATTGTTCTATTGTTCTATTCATCTATTGCTGCCAACACTGTTTTTAATATATATATTATATAAACTTGGTTCTAGAAATGAGAATTGCTAATTATATAATAATAAGTAAATTATAACTAAATAAAAACAAACAATCAAGAAAATTATGTCACTAAAAAAAACAAAAAACATATAATCAAAAATAACATCTAAAAACTTGAAACCTAGTCACAGAGCAGCGCCGGTCTAAGATCTAGCTTAAAAAATTAGTTGTACATAAATACATCATATAGAATATAAAAATTTGATCGACCAATAAATGGAGTTTTATACTCACCTTATCTTGGAAAGAAGTTTATAGCACATGGTACGTTTCCCATGTCATTAACTACATTATAAATAACCAAAAATCTAAAAATCTAGTTTTTATATACTCATTATAGATTTTTGAAAATACTTAATAAGACAAAATTTGTATATTTAATTTATATCATTACTATATTTAAATGTACTCGATATAGTAAAGAAATGTTTACCTTCTAATGTCTTCAATATACCGAGAGTACCTTATATAAATAACTGCTTTGTGATCTTTGGAATTTAATATTATTATAAATAACATATTAAATTCTTAAAGTGATCTCACTAATTCTATTCTTTACAATTGGATCTCTACAACTTCTACAACTTATATATAATTTTATTACTAAATAAATTACAATTTGGATATTAAATTTTGTTATATATTTTATTTTTATAATTTTATTTTATTTTATTTTATTTTTTTTTTACCTCCCTTCGCTATCCTGAAGGTCCTTAGACACCTTTAGGATCTGTCACATCTCTTAAAGGCCAGAGTTATCATTCTGCGAAGATCATCGGATGGTGTGTGGCCCTACATGTCACCGAACTCGTGAGATAACTCACGCTTCATCAAGTCCGCCATATGACGTCCCGTGTCCCTGGTTATTTTTATAATTTTTATAAACATTTATTCTATAAACTTTTTAGTTGCGCATATATGCAGAACTAAACTGATTATTTTACCATACTTACTCAATGCAGTATTAACTGTAACATATTTCTTAATTAGTCTTATATTACGATAGATCAATTGAGTATTAATTTGAATATAAACTTCACTAAAACAAAGAATACAATTAAATATACAATCTAGCATGAAGAAATAGAAAAAAAACATCCTTATTTACTAAAGAGCTTCATGATGAAAATATAAATATTTCATTATGTGTTCTAAAAATAAATAAGAATTTTAATGAACAGTTATTTAAAATGCAACTTGGCTTTATCACAATTTATTGAGTAGACAAGACCAGAATAACTTATCTCATAAAACATGTAATTTATTGAGCAGACTAGGCCGGATTTATCTCATAAAACATGCAATTTATTAAATGATATTTTTGCTAATAATAAATATAATAAAATATTATATATTAATTATACATAAAATATTCCAATTATTTTAAGTACCTTCAATCTCATTCGCTTCAGCCTTTTTATACATGATTGAAATCCTTTTGTCTATCTTTTCTGTATGACTTTTTAAATATTCTTCATATGTCATAAATCTAATGAATATTTTGGTTAGTAAGTTGGCAAATGTTGATATACCTGATGCTATCAAGGTAATTATTGGAATAGGATCAAATACGACACTATAACGAATATAGAATATCTAAATAGCATAATGAATAACATAAATGTTAGAAAAATTGCATATATTTAAACAATGTACTTGACACTAATTTTAACTTACCTGAATAACTAATTGTGGTATATCTGCCAAAAGTATGCTAACGCAACCTCCCCAAAAAATTACTCTCAATGCATTTCTAGACAACGGTGCGTTTAAGAAGTCCCATCCCATTAAATACGATTTTATTAAAGATAACAAATCAATATTTGCGCCGGATAATAATGCTATTGTAACAGCAACTCTTGTATAATTTCCAAGCCAGTCAATAAATTCTTTACTCCGCTCTGTTACTAAAACTGAAAATGATAGAATTAAATTTACTGCTACAGGAATCACCAGAAATGATATGCTAAATGTTGGTGGAAAATTAAAATTAATAATATAATTATTTATAGTTTATTTGAGCGATTCACACAATCTTACCTTGGTGCATAAAGAAATGAAATGACAGTAGAATCGAAGATAACAAATATCAAATATGAGACGAAACGAAATATGGTAAGACCAAGTGTAAGAATGATTAAGTTGTCTCCCTAAATGTTTATTAATTAGTGGATAAAAAGAAACAAAACAAATTGAACTATTTTAATTTAATAAAAATCATTACGTACATCTGGTGATCTTAATCTAAATATTAAGAAAATTAATAGATTTATAGCTATGGCTACAAAAACTATTATAAACTTTGTTTTATTTGCATCAAAGAGGTCCGAAAATTGCCCTAATGAAATAAATTAATATAATATGTTAATTATATTATTTTTTTTAAAAAAAAAAAAGGAAGGTGACACTTACTAGTTGTTTGAAATCCATAAAAATCATCTAAATAACTGGAATTTCCGATTGATATAGGCGTATCTTGTTTGTTACGTATTAGCTGGTCTAAATTTTTCTTTACTTCATTGCTATTCAATTTATTACCAGATTTTGCTCCATTAATAGAAAGCAAAATAAGAAGATTCGATTTTGAAGATGTATCCAATTGAACATTCTGATTGGTATTTAATCTTCCTTTCTCTGTGGGAACTTTGATTGTGAATTCATTTACTAATGCAGCGAGAAAGACGGACTTTTCTGAGGAACTCATGTTTTGGAAAAGTTGAGTTCCATCTAATGTTAATCGTATTGATCCTGTGATACCGTCTAAATTAAAAAATTTAAAGTTAATATAATGTGTATCGAGATTAACCTTATAGATAAGTTTAAATAACATTACTATCATAAAACGTTGAGTTGTCTCTATTAGCTATTCGTGTTAATAAGTAGATTATTAATAAATGAGATTCGATATTTATCAACAAATTTAAGTACGATTATAATTTTGTAAATATAAACCTGTTTGAAAAGTCCACATGTTAGGATCAATTCCTAGCATGGGTTCACCGTATTGTGCGCTCTGCACAAAATTAGTATCCATTTTTATATAATATGTCCCACTCGGTTCATTAAAAGTGCAATCAAGAATTTTAAGAATGACAACTTTGTCAAAAACTTGGCATTTAGTGCTGGTGTCACAAGTTCTTGAATTAATTGTCTGTCGAAGAAAACTACCATCACTAGTTGTTTGATAAATAGTTAAATTACCATCCGAAAATCTAATTGAATCATGATATGTGATGTTAATCGTGTTGTAACCTAATTCTAGATTAACAAGTTTGTTTTGAGGATATGTGTCGGAGATATGAAAGTTACCATAACCATTATCTACACGGTATAAAAATAAACATTAAAAACTTCATATTTCATATCTATTATTTAAATTTAAAAATAGTTTACCATTGTATGAATTAAGTTTAGGTAGTGAGATCGAAAGCAAACTCCAAGTGTTCAACGATGATTCATTTAGTGCTACTAGAAACGTATTATTTTGAGTTACATCAAGAGTACCAAATAAATTGGCAACAATAGGCTTCTGCGGAAAGCTATAATCTGATGGTTTATTCTCTTCATCAAAAAGACTAAAATTTAAATTTTCAGAAATATTATCCACTTTAGAAAGTTCTCGTGATATTATTATATATCCACCATAAGGCAACGTTTTAACATTTGCATTAAATGTATTGTTAGATATTAGATCTAATGACAACAGTGCTCCAGAGGAAAGAAAACGTATTTTCACGTAAAATATTTCTGTATTTTGAGAAGAAACAGATTGAGGTACAGTGGTGGCAATCGGTGCAGCTGAGGTACCAGCCAGCTACTGTGGTAGTGGCTGTAACGGTAGTATTGACCTGATTTACAGTCATTTGTACATGATTTACGGCTATAATACATGAATGACCGATAGCAACATAATCCACGGAACAGTATAGTTGATTGAATGTTAGATTCTTCTGCGGTAATTCATATAAAATAATTCTTTTAGGCGTTGATGTTTGATTATAACCCAATAATAGTACATATATTCCTGCAGTTGGAGTAAATTCAAAAGTTGTATTTATGGTTGTCGTGTTGGCATACACAACTGCATATCCTCCATCTAAAGTTGCAAACACCGTAAGTTGAAAACTGGTAAAAGCATCATCATTATGCCTAGTACTTGTCATTAAACTGAATGTTCCATTGCTAATGCTAGTAAAATAATAATAATAAAAATTAAAAAATGAGTCGAATCTTTATATATATAATAAATTTAATGATGCAACATACTGTGAGTATTGACTCCATTCAAAATTTCTCGTTCCACTAATTGCAGATAAACGTAAAAAACCTTTTTCAGGAATAATATTATTTACTACAAATTCGTTTGGATACCAAGTAGTTGTATTTGGGATTAAGTAAGAAGGTCCAAAATTGAGTTTACTGCCAAATAATAATATATGTACAATATTTATAATAATCATTACTACTTAAACATTTCAAATACTCAATTATATATCAACAAACCTTTTAATATTTCCATCCCAATCAAAAACCATTCCCCGATCCATATAAGTTGTAGGATCGGAGGTATTGGTTGCATGAACGTACGATACTAGAACATATTGATCAAATAATGGGTATATGCTCATTGGAAATTTACCATTATTTTGATAATAAATATAGCAAAAATTTATATCCTGTATTTCATTGGTGTCATTATAATTTATTTATTTAGTAGTTCCGTTTGTTTGAATAATGCGAATTAATAGTCTCTGCTCAAAACATGTTGTAGTATTAGAATTATACCGTCCGATATGAACAACTACTGCACCTTCACTTCCACTGTAATGGCGAAGATACAGGACACGAGGTGGATATGATGTAAGATTAGTTTGGTAAAGTTCTTCTGTATATGTAAATATATTTTGCGTAAAACTTGTTGGTAAAATAGCCAACAAGATGATAATAGTTATAAAAACCAATTTATAATTTAAAGCCATCATTTTTTTTAAAATTTAATACTTGGAATTTATTTTAAATTCAACATTTGGAATTTAGCAAGATGTCGAGTTTAAATTAAAACTTTATTCATGTTACAAAAAGCAAATGGATTTTAAAATTTGGCAAATAATTATTACAAACAAATCAATTTTTGGTATAATTTTTTAAAGATTATTTCACAAATGGCTGAATGTCAATTATTTAGTTGTACATACAATTATTTTACACATGTGTTTATGTACTTACGTATTTATTATGAATTCTTAAATCTTGACAAATGTTAAAGCCATTAGTTTAAAGTATCCAATTACTTTCTTACAAGGCGAACAATCAAATAAATTCTACTAACACCCTCACGAGAGCAAATTGAATTAACAAAATTAAGTCCATAAAATTAAGTCCATAAAATTTCGTTATGGAAATTTTTGTTCTATTATTATGTTGTAAGTCAACACGATATTGTATGTTAACGCTAGATTGTATGCTAGTACTAGGTTGTAGGTTGTATATTAGTACTAGATTTATGATTTGTTTTTTTTTCAAACTGCCGATACAATAATGAGATCTAAATATAACAATCACCAAATATATCTAAATTAAAGTAAATATTTTGAAAACATATATAGTTATAATTTTAGCCAACGCCACATTAGTTAGTATAGTAGTACTGTACGATTGTACGGACGTACGAAAATTGAGCAAAATTTTGATAGTACGTACGGTTAACTGTTTGTAAAATTAAAATTTTACGTATAAATCCATTATCCATTTGGCACAAAGATGTGAGAAATCATTGAGTGTGGCTAATAAGCATTATTTAATATAATTATTTAGCTAATGCTTACTCACAACACTGATGATTCGTCACATCCTCATACCAAATGAAAGAGGAGACCTAATAATGTTTGGTTCTTTTTTCGTGTGAAGTTATAAGAAAATAGCTTGTCTCGAAAGGATTGTTTTCTTTTACAAATAGTACGCACTATCATGATTTTCACAAATTTACATTTCCGTACCGTACTAATTTACCATATACCTTTTCGAAACGCAACAACGGTTAGTGGCGGCAGAATGTAGAAGTTTCGTACTGTATTTTGTTAGTGAATGTACTGTACAGTACATAAATGTAGGTGTACTATATTTTGTATCCATACAGTACACCTTTTTATATTATAAGTGGAATATGTACTGTACTGCATCGAATAAAGAAAATATAAACGACAATACAATACCGTACTTAAACTTATTTATGATAATATAGTTATTGCCGAAAGCAAATACTTTTAAACTCATCGTTATGTGAATATTAATTCATTACACGGGGAATCTAACCAAATGAGAAGTAATCTTAACTCTCTACGGTGCAGCTTACATAAAGTTAGGCAGATGTAAAGAATCACCGGGTAGATATAATGAATCAACCTTGGGATAGATATAGCGATAAATTAATTAAAAAATTACAGCGTATAGTTTCATCTTAGTATGTAATTAATTTAAACACGTCTCATGTTTGTCATACACAATCTCTGATAATAAAATCCATAATGTTATATTACTGATATTTTATTATAATATTTGGTTTATTAGCATTAGCAAAATAATTACATTTGTGTGTGTGAAGCACATATTTAATTTAAGTTCAATAATTTAAAAATCTTTGAAGTTTCTTGTACAACATAATTTCTTTTTTCAATTCATTACTTTTATTTTTCTGAATTGCAAGCTTTTCTTGCTCAATTCTTAAAAGTTTTTCACTTTCAATCTGGACTTTTTTAGAATATTTTTTTGATAATTTTCATTTGAACGTTTGTCTTTACCTTTAAATTCATTAATTACTGGTTCTTTTAACTGCTTCAGTAGTTCTTTGTAAAGGTGATCTATCTTGATAAGACTCTAGTACATTTGTTTTTTCATATATATAAGTTGAACTCCATTGAAGTTTTCAAATTCTTTGACCCTATTTTAATTTTAAATGGCTTTTTTTTGTAAAAAATTTTTACGCATAAAATTTAAACATGCCCATATTACACAATGTGTCTAAGTTGTAAATATTACATAATGATGATCTCAAAATTTCTAGTAAAAAATTAATTTACTTGTTAATTGACGTTCATTTGTAAATGGTGTATTGATTGTGACATTTTAGTAAAAGCAGAAGACTAGTCAGCAAGTATTCATGGTTGTTTTTTATTGTGAATCCAATTTAAAAATAAAATATATATAATTAATAAATTTATATTATAATAAACAATGGATCTCATTTTACAATACTCATATTTTCAACAATTAAAATTAATCCAATTTATAGTTAGACTAGCCTGAGTCAGTGAAATAGCAGTAGTAAATTATATATACCTGCTAAAGTGGGTTCTGCACAATGCTTAAGAAATTCAAGAATATATTAGTATCAGGTATTCTTTAAGAAAAATTTTTTAAAGAATTTCACAATATAAAATCAGACTTTGTAAATCTAGACTTATTATTTTTACTATACTCAGCATTGCTTAAAGACATATGCAATACACAAGTAAATTTAATTACATGTCAATGTTCTAATACAGCTAATTGATGTTAAAGTATGCAGGAATGAAGAATGTAATTTAGTGATACCGTAGAATAGTCCTAATGCCATAACTAAAATAGTTACGTATATGCTTTGGACAAAAATTCAATGTGTCTGTGCCAATACGGTGATTAATTTTCTTATGCTTTATATAACGATAATGACTGATAAACCAAAAATTGAATCTTTTTTATAATTGTAACTATATCAAGAACGACTATATCGAGGTCTGATCAAATAACGAATAATATTGTTTAACAATCAATGATGTTATATTATGGTTCTTTTTAGAAGCCGCACCTTGAGGCAAATCCCAAATAGCGCTTATTAAATACTATTTTCACATGCTGATTGTCATGTATTAAAAGTTTCAGACCTCTTGATAATAATTCTTAGTCACGTGTTTGAGACCATCTGTTATCTGTTACACTATACGTATTGTACGAGAAAAAAAATTAGGCTATCATATAAATGGCACATCACTAAGCGATATAGAAACTCTTCATGCAATTCTTTTTTAATGAATAAAAATGATTCAATTAATATATTACCAATACCATGAATCTCTATCTTTAAAATGATGTCAATAAATTGTAACTTAGTAGAAGTTCAAGGTCAATTAATTCCTTAAGCCTCTTATGAATATCTTGTGTACTTGGTTATGTCCATCTGGAAAAGGGGAAAAGGTAAAATAACACATTGCATTACTAGATCATTCACATCCTCGCAAATTTCACGGTACTCAATGGAATTCCATAGAATGACCAAATCTTTTTGAATTAAGATTGCACATTCGACAATGTTAAGCTGTCGGTTGTTTTCTTAACCATCTCTAGATGGATAATTTTCTGAATTTGCTAGAACACTATTTGACACTATTTGGTCTTACTCAGGTCTTTGTCGAAATGGAATAAATTTCATGTTCAATATTAAATTATTAATAGAATTCATATTAAATAGTTTATTTTGCGCATGATTTAATATGCAATGGCCTGTGGAAATAAAATGAAAAAGCTCTATGTCATTTCCATTAAAAAGGAAGTTTATTTGCCTAACTGTTTTTGCGCTTCTTTCATTAAGTATGTGAAACTGAAGGTTGTAAATCATTTGCTCAAAGTATGCTAACTCGAGTTTATTATCTCATTAACATTTATCCGTTTCTTGCATTATTAATAGTCTTTAACTTGATTAACTGTTGATCATATCTGCCAAACTGAACAAGTAATCTTTGAACAAAATATCTAGAAAGGATAGCTCCTTTGGAAATAATAGCTCTTGCTACCGAAAGATTAATGAAAGTTGGGTCAAGTCTTATAGCGTGAAAAAGTGCACGAAAACTTCCATATTGAAAAAGAAGCCATTCTGTTCTCATCAGGTAATCTCCAGATATATTGAAAATATGTATGATAAATATATAATGTTGAGAATCATTAGGAGAGAATTCATGAAGTATCAGATAACAATGGGAAATTATTTTTATACCAAATTCAACATAAGTCACCTCAATTTAATGTCATTTAAAATAAAAAAATATAAATATGTATGTGTTACGTTGAAATCGCTTATATGAACAGTTGTTGTTTTGCGTCACTCATGTATAAATTTATATTTTTATGGTAATTTGTGTTTGTTTTTGAGTTCAGAGAGTACAGGTGGGCACAAAGTAAATTATTGATTCATATTATTACGTTTCAATCATTACTAATTATATTATGTTTATTCTGTTGTGTAAATACTATATTGTTCAAGAAAATTTCACAAAGGAATTAAGTAAAGTAGATATTTATCAATAAATGGTCTAATTATCGATTGGTTACTAAACTTCAATATATATATTTTTTAGTTAATAGCAGTTATTTTATGTTTACTTAAGGTTTATTATGAAGATGCGCTTCTAAACAATAGAGATGTACTTAAATATAGATTTTCGTCAATACAATTAGTAATAAAACTGGGATGTTTCATAGGGCTAGGGCCTTGCTTATTAGGCGCGTAAATTTGAAAACGAAGTCGCATAACATCAATTCACATTATCTATGTCTCTATTAAATAGATTTTAGTAAATAATTTAATCAGTTAATGTATTAATAATGGAATTTATCTTAAATTTTAAGCAGAATATTTCATAAGTTTATATTAATAAGCATGTGAACACGCATAACATGTTAGTGAAATCAAGCTTAGTGCTCAGAATAGGGTTGATATGATTACTCGAAACTGACCTTGGTCATGACTCATATAATAAATTTGGTCTTCAGGTTAACCCCATTTGGAAGCATTAATCAAACTAGAGTGATGAATAATTTCATCGCTATTGTCGAAATTAGTGTTAAATTGGTTACAAAATTTAGTGAAATTAATTAAACCAGCATTTCAACGCATAAGCTTCAGTTTTTAATAATTAATCTCTGCTGTAAGCATGTGCTTTTCACCACTTTGTAATTTACCATGAGAAAAAGCACTATTAAAAAGACCAAAAGAGCGCAAACCCTTGATATATCATCACTTGGGATTATATTTTCTTTTTCTAACAATATGATTCTGTAGTTAACGCTGATCTTTTTATCGATTCTACCGATTCATTATTTTGATAATTTCACTGTTCTTCAAGTGTATAGAAGCCAATCTTTTTCTTATATCATCATATTTATCGATAATTTTTTAATGATCAAAGTTTATGCTTAATTGAAATTGTTTACAGGTATAGCAAGTGCTTAAAAATAAGATTTTATCTCGGAATAGGGATGGGCTTTATCTAAAATTTGTAGTGCTGTGCGCGGATAGGTCTTCCACTTGGTACCAATGAATGATTACCTTTTTAATTCAAGAATTTTTAAATAATCACAGGAATAGAGTGGAAGAACTTAGGGTCTTATCCTTAAGAATTTAATTGACGTCGATACTTCCGTAATTATTAATTCTAAGCATTTCCTATAGAAACATTAAAAATACGTGATTATTTTACAAAAGCAAACTGATTATTCATTTGATTAATAGTTTCTTATATCAAATTTACTACAAGAAACTTGACGATGTTTTGTAGACTGGAGCCCTAATTATTAGATCTTATTAGATCTTATACTTGGAATTAAATCAAATTCAATGTATTATTTTAAAGATTACATTTATAATAAATTCATAAATAATGCAATCACTGTTTTTTGTTGTAAACACACATGAAAAGTACCATTAAAATAAAGACATTTCCTTATTTCTAACATTTATTGCAGCTTGTGGTAATGCTAAACCTTACGACTTATGGATTTTTACATTCTAATAGGATAATCTATCTACTCATTTATTGTATTTTAAACCAAAATTTCGAATTTCAGTATCCAAACGTTAAACCGAATATAAATCAAAATTTTGTGCAGTAATTCGACTAGTACAAAATACGTGTACATACAAGGAAATTACAAAACAGTAGAGAAGTGCGCATGTATTACTTGAATACATGTGTGCGTATAATCGGAGTTAATTATGGTCGTTTGTGTTATTTCTCTGGACTTCTAGAATATCCATAAATTCCTTATATAGTAGTACTAAATTTGGAAAATGCCTAAAAAGGTATGATAACCAATTTTATATAAATGTCAACAGGCTGAAACATGATCAATTAAAACAAATAAATTTCTCGATTGGTATGAATATAAACAAAATTTAATAAATGATTTAGGAAAAATGATTTAAGTATGTTTATGTGTTTTCGGAATATTCCATTTGTGCTATCCTAATATTGTTAGAATCAAGATTTACAGATTTCTAGAAATTCTATATTGCGTACATTTTTCCAAAATTGCATTTTTAAGCACGTTCATAAAACATTGAAATCACTCTGAACCTTCGATTAAGAAACTGTAATCTTTACACCCAGCACTTTTATGTTATCCCGGAAAATATATAAATAGATGGCTTTTAACTCTTGAATTTTTCAGACTTTGAAATTCATCGAAAAGAATTAAAGATGGGTAAAATGAACAATAAGCCTAACAGAAATTTGACTTGTCGCATTTTAATTGTCAGAAGGCCTTTAAATACATCGAATCAATCATTCATAAACTATTTGAATAATCTCGAAAATTGCGTTCGGCAATTGGACAATAAGAAAATAAAGGCCAAGAGACCAATTAGAAATGGTGAAAATTAGTTTTATAATATCTTAAAATTTCTAAATTCTTTTTCTAATACCCAACTATCAATTCTTCCAGGTGCATTATCAATTCCTTCAGGTTCTAATTGCGTGATCATAGTTATTTGTCTTGATCCTGTGACATATATGAGATGGTTAGAACATCGTGTTCGACAATTAGAAAATCAATTTAAGATTTATTATCATAAGCAATAATTCAGTAATTAATAATGTTATGCCTAAATTTTTATTATCTAGCTATTCTATACTATCCTATCTTATCTGTTCTTTCTATGCTAATATTTCGTCATTGTAAATATTTTTTCGAATTTTATATCGTCTAATCTTTTGATTCATGGTGTTGTGGTTCGTGTTATATTTGTGAAATTCAGTCACATTTATGCACAAAGCTATTGTTTTACATGAGTGTAAAGATATGGTAGTGAAATTTTTAATTGACTTCAATAGGATTTTTTCAGCATTAACTTATTTCGAAAATAAGTAGGCGTTTAAAAGATCTTACTTCTATTTTATAATTCCAACTTAAAGAATCGAATAGGTGCACATGTTAATGAAATTTTGTTTTTTTGATAAATATTTACTGGTATATATATGTCGCTCAATTTATCTGAAATCAGATGCAAATCATTAATTCTGAATTTTTATAAATTAATTCTGTGCATACAATGCAAATCCAAAATATATTTATTATTAAACACTTACATCAAAAATTTAATAGACCTCTGTTAATTATGTAACATGTGTAATTATTAGGCATAGTCAACCTTTGTTGCAATGCTAGTCCTGACTAATAATTAAGCAAACTTTACAGTTCAACTTTCTAAGTTTCATCTGTGCAAATTATAATGCATATATATATATACGTACGATATTTTCTTGCTATTTAATTAAATAATAAGATAATGATAAAAGTAAGAAATATAATTTAATAAAGATGTTCCTTTCATTAAATAACATTCATTTTTGACTGCAGGTCTGTAATCTATGATAGGTTAAGCTGTTATGTATCGTTTATTGATTCCTGTCAATTCGGAATTGACATGTGTCATTTACGAATCTAAGAATAACATATGTCGGTTTGAAATTTTACCGCATAAATGAATGTTCAAGTGATATTATTAAAAAAAAAACTGATAAAAATAAATATATATTTATAAAGATAAATGCATAAATGACATAAGTATAAATTCGTAGCTATTTGTTCTCTAAACATTTCTGTAAAATGTAATTTCTCTAAAGTAAGTGTTAAAAAAATCATTTTTTCTAAAAAAAAAACATAAATAAAATAATGAAGTAGTGATTCTTTTAAAAGAATTATATAATTATTTAGCAATTTTTGCATTTGATATGTAAGATATTATATAAATATATAAATAAATAAAATTACTTTAAAAAATTATTAAATTCAATATTTTATTTTAAAGATCAAATTTGGTATAAATCATTCTGTCTAATATTTGCTTGTTTTAGCAAAAATGTTAGTTTAGCAGAATAATTTCAAAATTAAAATAATTTGTTATACTTAAAATTGTAAGCTCACTAGCTAAATACTAATTCTCAATTATTTTAAATTGACAAACAACTTGATATTTTGATTTAGTTTTTCTAAATATTTTTAATCAGTAATATTTTCTGTTTTTTTTTTTTTTTTTAATATTAACAATAAGGCCATGCCTTTAACTTTATTGAAATTCAATTAAAGTTTTTACAAAGAAAAGCTTGCTTTTAAATTACATATGA